TTTTGATTTACATTTGCCATTTACGTTTCGAAAAATGTAGAATTTTAAGAAGCCAGCAGAAAGTTTATCTCAAAAGAATTCCATGTATAAGATATGTATCAGACATATTTCCGGAATCTTTAGAGACAAGCCCTAATCAACCTAGCAAAGAATAACATTTTTTTCATAGAGAATCAAGCTGAAGTGTTTAAAATATGATTTCCACTTATCATTAGACATTGAATACAATGTGTTATAAATTTATTTAAAAAAAACCAAAAAAGAGCCCAATTCAAAATTCGATCAATGTCTCATCTGACTAGATTCCATCATCATAAAATACTATTAATTAATAGTGCATCAATAGTAAAGTAGAAAAAAAATTTTAGTTAAAGAGTGAAGACAAGTTTTTTTAGTACAGATGATTATGATTATGTGATGTATATACCACCAATATGTTCAGCTCACAGGACTTATTCCAGCCTTTTGACAAATTAATCAATCCATTCTTCTTGAGCCACTGTTCCCATATCTTTCAATTTTGTTCATTATTCGCTTATCATATTGACTGTGTTTAACTTAAGTAGATTGCTTACTTTGCTTGCATCTAACTATAACTACTTAGCTATGTCTCATTGCATGGAGTTGCCTCACTGGCCTTTTTCACTTCACTTCACTTCGCTTTGCTTTAACGCGTTTTATTCTCATGTCTGTCTGTGTGAACAATTGCCTGGAATAAACTCATACAGCTGAATCCGTATTTTGATTCTTATTACAAAAGTTTCGCAAACGCGGTTCGCGGTAATCGAAAGGAAGATTTACTCCAGAGTATATTCAGTGATTCGTCTAAATTGGAGTCAAATCGCGGGCCACTAAAATTGAATTTTGTTAAACAATTATTCGAGATATGAGAGTCCTTAGTTATCCTTATATAGCTGAGCAACATTACTGACGAGCAAGGTGGATCTGATTTAGATGTGAAGGCTCAAATCGGTAAAGTGAGGGCTTCATTTCTACAACTTAACAACATCTGAAACTCAAAACAACTACCAACAAACATCAAAGTCAGAATTTTCAATACAAATGTCAAGACAGTTTTATTGTATGTACGGAAACTTGGAAAACTACCAAAGGTATCATCCAGAAAATACAAGTATTTTTAACTTCAGATCCGTTGGCCAGACACTATCAGCAGCAATCTACTGTAAGAAAGAACAAACCAGATTCCGCTGGAGGAAGAAGCGGTGAAAGTGGATAGGACACACACCATGGAAAGCACCTAACTGCGACACATGACAAGCCGTATCATAAATGCGGTTCAACTAAGCACATGATATAAGGAAATTGAAGGGAAGATGTGCTTCAAATTATATTCAATCGTTCGTCCAAATTGAGGTCAAGTCACAGGCCACTAAAATTGAATTTTGTTAAACAATTATTCGAGATATGAGACTCCTTAGTTATCCTTACATAGCTGAGCAACATCACTGACGAGCAAGGTGGATCTGATTTGAATGTGGCCGCGCGAATCGGCAAGTAAAAGTTGTGGTGAATCTTTCAAACTCATTATAAATATGATTATAAGTAGACTTCTAAAATCTTTCAAACTTCTAATGAGTGTTATCTTATCATATACTAACCATTCACTACACTTAAATCTTTCTCTTTCTATATCCTCTGATAGAAACAAAATGCCCATTGCTTAGAATTTATGCACGTAAGCCAAAGTATAAAAGCAAAGCTTTACAACCAACACCTTATTTAACAAATATCCTATGCAATGAACAGGTGGTAAAAGGTGACCTAGTCAAAAAAAACTTGTATTCTTTAATTAAACTATGTTTGTATACATTGTGTTTATCTGCTTAAAAAAATGTAGTTTCATTTTATATTTCAAATGAGTTTATTTACTTATCTTGTCGTGTATATGTATAAATGTATACCAATTATTGATTATTGTTCTTTTTGTTTGTGTAAAAGAAACTTATTGAAAAAATAGTTTGTCCTGAGAATTCCATTATGTACCAAAGAATATTAAGTAAGGCCAATAATAATAATAATAATAATAATAATATTACTATTGTGGTGCGCGCTACTTATAAGTAGTATATGACGCGAGTGTAAACGTAATGTCTGGCAGCAGAAGATGGGGGAAGATCAAGAGAAAGGAAGAGTGGGAACACAATGGAATTTGTATGAAACGCATGAATAGTGAAATGTCAGACAATCGACTGATGATGGATTGAAGAATTGCAAATTAACGGTTTACGATATGGTTTTCCTATTTTACTGAGTAACTCTGTAATTTTCGTTAAATACAATTTGGCTGTCCTCACCCGTGTTCTCCTTCACTACACTATGACAATGACGTACTCACATAACAATAAACAACCAATGTAGACCATTTCCCTGAAAACCTAGTGGAACCATATCATCAGAGTGACCGTTTAGAAGATAGGAAGCATTGATTGGTTGTTTCATTCGTAACTCTATGATACAAATTTGTTGATGTGCAAGAGTAATATGAGATTTCCAGTGAAAAAAAATAGTTCAGTTATATGTTAATGATGTCTATTTGTAACAGGGCGATTCATTATCAATAATCTTGTAGTGAACGAGAACTCAGGTGGGGCAACCAAATTGTATTTAGCGAAAATTACAGAGTTACTCAGTAAAATAGGAAAACCATATCGTAAATCGTTAATTTGCAAATTATCAGTTCATCATATCGAACTGGACTGTTCCTGTTGCCAAACATCAATCGACTGTCATTATCCATGCATTTCATACAAATTCCATTGTTTTCTAACTCTTCCTTTCTTGATCTCTCCCCATCTTCCGCTGCCAGACATTACGTTGACACTCACGTCATATACTACTTATAAGTAGCTCACACCACAATCTGTTTAGTGATATAAATAACTCTTGATATATATTTTGGTGGTTTTAGGTTGTTGTCAGACTACTCAGCTCGACATTAGATTCAATCAATGTCAGTGTCTCATTTCTGCAGGATGTCAGTTTTCACCTGAACAAATTAGTGATAACATCTCAAACTGAGATATGTTACACCTGTTCAAAATGCCACAATATGTATCAACTGTCTCAAGATTACTGGTACACCATACTGGAAACCTTAGTTGAGAAGCATTTCTTACTAACCAATTCCAAGCACCTAACATGAAAATATAGTGAACTGAGATTTCAAGTAGCTTATATCAGTGGGTACATTGCAGCTTGATTGATGCAATGACAAGACAAACATGTTATTGGTTACTAGAACTCAGTAATTAATCATAGTTCATTTACCGTGTATTTTTTTACACATTTGAAATCATCAATCAATCATTGTTACTAGACCACCATTAGAAACCTGGAGGTACCAATAGGCCGTTTCGTCTTGGTATGAGACACGTCTCTAGTGTGCATCTACAATTTCTGCATCTCACAGGATTCTAACCCGGGACCTTCGATCTTGTGCTCCTCTGGACCACTGTGCCGGGCTCCAATGGTGTTAATTTCTAACTCTGATTGGTCTAGAGATTTTGCGCGGCCTCATCTATTTGTCTTTGATAGATACTGCCTACAAATGATAGTGTTGAAACTCCACCGGTCACTCAACACCAGATTGCTTAAATCAAATCTCGAATAATCCAAAGACTATCAAATAAAAAACTGGCTGATAATGATAATAATAAACATTATTCATTTTCAACTATTCTAAAACTTTTCTAACCTCTAGCGAAAACGAACCAGGAAAAAGATGGTGATGATGATGATGATTACGGTAGAATTAGAGCTAAAGGACCATGAAACTTATAGACTGATTATCTAGAAGAAAACTATTACACAAACCAATCGCGCATGATGTAGTCTAATCATGATAATTGACAGAAAGTCTTTACACATTTGAAATCATCAATCAATCATTGTTACTAGACCACCATTGAAAACCTGGAAGCACTGAACGGCCGTTTCGTACTGGTATGGGACTAATCAGTGGCATTGCGCATCTACGACACCTGCTCCTCACAGGATTCGAACCCTGGACCTTCGGTATTGAGCGCGATCACCTAACCATCGGACCACTGGACCGGCATCCAACTGATCTGTCTAGGGATTTTGCGCGACCTCACCCATTTGTCTTTAGTAGTTACTGCCTACACCCGACAGGGTTGAACTCCATTCGTCACGCCTTCTCAACTAGAACTCCGAGAATTCCCTCACGAAGCTAGTCACTAGTGAGCACTGTTACGATATTTTGGGGCACAGTTTTGGACGGCCATCCAGTGCTTCCAGGTTTCTAATGGTAGCCTGACAATGATTGATTGATGATTTCAAATGCGTAAAATCGCAAACCTCCAAAACTGAGCCCCAAAAGAAAGTCTTTAGTTAGTCGTTTAGGTCAAGTATAGTCAAGGTCAATCGATATTAATCTCGAATGTTTACAAAACTTTCTAATTGAAGCTGTCATTTGCTACTATCGTAATCATAAATAATTAACAATCAATACAAATGTCAAGACTGTTCTACTGTATGGAGAGGAAACGTGGAGAACTACGAAAGCTATCATCCAGAAGATACAAGTGTTTATGAACAGTTGTCTACGCAAAATACTTCGTATTCGCTGGCCAGACACCATCAGCAACAACGAACTGTGGGAGAGAACAAACCAGATTCCAGTGGAGGAGGAAATCAGGAAGAAGCGATGGAAGTGGATAGGACACACAATACGAAAAGCACCTAACTGCGTCACGAGACAAGCCCTTACATGGAACCCTCAAGGCAAAAGGAAAAGAGGAAGGCCAAGGAACACACTACGCCGAGAAATAGAGAAAGATATGAGAGGAATGAACAAACATTGGACAGAACTGGAGAAGGAAGCCTATGATAGAGTTGGCTGGAGAAAACTGGTGGGAGGCCTATGCTCCATTGTGGGTAACAGGCGTAAGTAAGTAAGAAATAATGATAAGCTTTGATAGCATTCATCGAATATTGAACACATTCATTTGTTCACTTACCAAATATAGTACAAAGTCCATTTGGTAACTAATGTCTAATTCTGTTCATTTTTCGAAGTAGTTACGGATTCAAAACTTTATATATATATATATATATATATATATATATATATATATATATATATATATATATATATATATATATATATATATATATATATATATATATATATATATATATATTAGTGCACGTTATGTGTCACATTACTTGAAATCTCTCAGATGATTTGTTAAACAATGTTACTAAAGCATAAAAGACTTTACTAATAAGTAAATCAATCAATATCATTATGTCATTGATTGATTAGTTGAATAATAATTAGCATTAATGTTTAATTACTGAGTTTTAGTATAATTAATGTCCTCCAATACTGATCAAGTGTTAATTTATTTATTGACTTACAATTTGATAACTAGACTTAATGATTGAACATTGATCAATGAATCGTATTCGATATAAGTTAGTTAGTTAGTTGGTCAGTTAGTTAGTATGGGTGGATGAGGATTAGAGATAACACATATAAGGAGCAATTGATTAATCTTAACAGACATTGTGGTTTTTTATAAAAGTACAAACCTATCAGATGACGATTTTGTTATTTAATTGTGTGATTTTGTGGACACTTTAAAATCTCTGATATGATGTGAGAACTGATTGAATTAACGAATTTCAAATTAATAAGTAAGTGATATTGTAGTAAATATATCTGATCAATCAAATGACTGATCTCGATTCAACATTTTCACAAGAATTTTGTGTATTACAAATCCACTGAACTTGATTACTGCGATGGATATTAATACTGTTGGGTTCGTCACTAGGTATGCTTGAAACTATTACGAGTTCACCTTAGTCGATAAACGCGAACGAAACAATGAACCAGCGTCCAGGTAGGCTACCTTGATCCGAAACGGCTAAAGAGAAGTCTTGATATAGCGTAGAAAGTATAGTCTACATACACACAGCAAGCATAATACAATCAAGCACACAACACATCATAGAAAAATCCTTGGGACAGTCACAAAAATAGCACACTAAAATACACAGCAGCCAATCACAGCCAAGGATTTTCCTGGTCTAATTCTGATTAAAAATTAGGATTTACTGAAAACTGAAAAATGACTTCAATTTTCCTCCATTTTCAATCATCAGTTGATAAAAGGTTTTAAAATCTTCGCACGAGACCCTAGGTCTTAGGTTTGACCCCCCCAGTGTAATCATGAAAGCATACTGCCGAGAAGTTTATACTAGGATGAAGCAGCTCTCACGTTCTCCCTTGTTTCCAAGGCATGTTCAACTTAGGTTGGTTCAGGACACAACTAGCCTTAAACAATGTCCACTATCTCTACACGTAAAACCGTTCTGCTTTTACTATGTAGACCATCTTTGTTAGAATTTTGAATTCTTTCGCAAAATAATTCAATTCCAGAAGAAAGTAACATAATTTCGTTGATTAAATTTACTATTATGACAGTCCTACAGACAATCCACTACTTAATTAACTAATAAGTAGCTATGTTTTGGTATTAAAAATTCTTACTAAGGAAAATTAATTTTCTGAGTATTATTTTCATTTTAATACACATTATTGTATTATTATTATTATTACTATTAATATTATTATTAATGTTTTAACTCTCGGTGCAGTTTAATCAAACATTGATTGTACAGTATACGTTCTTTAACCAACATTCATCGCAGATTACTACTTTTAATGACACTGTTATGTTTAAATGGTGTAACATATATATGGATTTCCGTTCCTACTGAGTTTTGAACAGCACTAAAATTACTCTAGCTATGAGAATTATTCATTAGGCTTTAATCACTCTAAGTAAAATGTTGATTTATCAAATGAGTTTTGTAGATCAAATCTCCCTGACAAAGTGTCTAACTTCAATAAATTCACGACATCTGGTGAACATCTTACTTTGTGTTATTTGGTGGCTAACTGGCTCACATTTGACATAGATTAGCGTCATTGATCACAGTTTATCACAAGAACTCCAGGAAATTGCTCTCGTAGTACATAATACTTGTCAGTAAAAAGTTGTGAAAGATTGTTGAATTGCATCAAAACCCTTAACAGATTACAGTAAGACTACCAACTAGGATCAGCCATATGATTTTGTTAGACCACCATTAGAAACCTGCAAAAAAACACTCATCTCCATAACTCCAAGTGAAAAATCTAAAATTTGATCACTAGTGGCTTGCTCCATGAGGAAATTCTCGGAGTTCTAGTGAGAAAGTGTGACCAGTGAAGTTTTTGAATCCTAGGCAGTAAATACCAAAGACAAAGTGGTGAGGTTGCGCAATATCCCTAGATGGGTCAGAATTAGACATTAACGTCTTTGAATGCCGGCCCAGTGGTCCAGAGGTTAGGCGTTCGCTCACAATACAGGAGGTCCTGGGTTCGAATTCTGTTAGATGCAGGAGTCGTGGATACGCACTGCCACTGATGAGCCCCACACCAGGACGAAACCTCTGTCCTTCAGTGCTTCCAGGTTTCTAATGATAGTCTAACAATGATATTGATAGATGATTTCCATAGTCATCCATAGTCTGCGTGAGAAGACTGAGGCGGGCAAGGAAGATTGTATTGTGCAAATTTACACTCTTAGTCAATTAAAAACGGCAAAATTACATTGAACACCACTCTATTTGCACACCATCTTTCAGTCGTGACTTCCAACACTCCATCCTACTTCTTCCATTCCTGTTGTTGCTTCCTTTCCTTCCTGTTGGTACTTCATTTACTTCTTGCTCCATTTTGCTCCATTTGCTTTCTGTTTTCCCCTTGTGACCGTGAGACTTCTTCTTCTTCCACGTTCCTTCTTATACTACTACTACTTATATCGTTCGTATAAGTAGAACACACCACAGTAGTAGTAGTAGGTTTTATGAACAGAGAGAAAAACAAAATCCTTCATTCATTTATACTTTTTTAATTACATTATAATAATCATAATTATTATTATTATTATTATATTTCAATAAGATTAATTATTATTTTTATTTTAATAATAATATTAATAATAATAATAAGCGTGTGATATTTTTAGAGGTTTCGATCATCTGTTTATGTCATTTGTCTTGTTCAATTAAAGAATTTTTGCGTGAGTGAATTGTGGACTTGTTTTTCCCAAAGTGGGTGTGTGTGTGTGCGTGTATGCATTTCTTTAGATTTTGCTTGTAAAAGACCAAGCAATATATATATGCATGTACATAACTCAAATAAGTAAATGATGGACGGTTTAATGGTTTTATGAATTATAATGCACCCATAATAGGTTATATATATATATATATATATATATATATATATATATATATATATTACAATGAATGATTGAAATGTGCAGAACAATTGTGCGTAACTGTGTGTGTGTGCGTGTATGTTTTTTTTCCTGTCTATACATACTAACAACAAGAATACAACAATACAACTATACCATGAAAGTATACCTGGTAGGATTTGTCATAAATCAATATATAAACTCCTTGTATGGAATAATTTTTTTTAAAAAAAAGTCTGTGTGTGTGTGCTGATTTTAATTTCAATATGGAGTAAGGAAGATGTCATGACCGTTAATACGACTACTATTACTACCACTACTGATAATAAAAATAATAGCAGTAATAATAAAAGCCATCATTATTACATGAAAAAAGATGATACAGCATGATAAACGAAGAAAATTAATTCGTCATATAATAAACTGAAAAGTGAGAAGAAAACAGTTACGGTTTTATTAATTGTCCGTTTTAATAATAATAGTAATAATAATAACATTATGGGGTTGTGAAGATTGTTAAGTTACACATTTTTGAAACCATGAATCGATCAATGTTACACCACCATTAGAAACCTGGAAGCGCTTACTGGACGGCCGCTTCGTCCTGGTATGGGACTTATCAGTGGCAGTGCGCATCCACGACTCCTGCACCCCGTCACGATTCGAACCCGGGATCTTCGGTATTGTAGGCGAACGCCTAACCACCGGACCACTGAGCCGGTATCTAACCGCGTTACCGTCTAACTTGATCAATACACGGAGTTGCGCAACCTCATACACAGTCTTCGGTAGTAGTTATTGTCTACACCTTAACAGGTTGAACTTCACTGATCACGTCTTCCCACTAGAACTCGGAGAATATTCCTCACGAAGCTAGTCACTAGTGAGCACAGGTTGTGAAGATTGTTAAGTTACACATTTTTGAAACCATGAATCGATCAATGTTACACCACCATTAGAAACCTGGAAGCACTGGACAACCGTTTCGTCCTTATGGTATGGGACTTCTCCGCAGCAGTGCGCATCCACGACTCCTGCACCTCACAGGATTCGAACTCAGGACCTTTGGTATTGTGTGAAAATTTATGAGATGTTGAAGAAATGTTGTAACTCAACTGGATGATTGATTATGGTAGTGTCTAGTTCTCTGAGTTGGATGTTTTTTTTGTTGTTGTGGAGCTTTCATTATTCATGTGAACAACATTGACTGTCATCAGTACATACTTTAAACTTTCGAAGACTTCACTTCTATCTGAAATTGTTGTTCAAAAGAACAGATGAAAGATCTACAACCAAAACATTCAGCATAGAGAATGAAAATTTAGGTCCTACCTGAAATCAATATCTGGTCTCAAATCGACTAAAATCATCAAGTATGTTATGTTTCATGAAAATTTTCACTGTTTATGAATGAACATGTTGGCATTATATTTATATATTAAATAAAATAATAATGTAACGTCTTTTTCCAATGACCAATTCGGTCTCGCATGCTGTTACAGGTATGAGGGCGGTTGTCACTTCCCGGCCGCCCACACCGTGGAAGGTTGTTTCTTGAGCAACCTGAAAAGGAAGATAGGTTAGTGTTGGTCTTAGAGACCTGGTTGTGTGAGGCCGGTCACGCACGGCTTTTTTATGAGAAGTTTTTTGAGTGTTAGCTCCGCACTTGAAAGCACTTAGTGGACACCCTTACCGACGGAGACGGAAATCCGTGAGGTAGGGTGAGGTGTGACATTTTTAGGGTCGACCTTTCCTAACGCCTTCCTT